GCTTACAACAGCATGCGCAGATCTTCCATCTTACCAGCAGTGGCCACTCATACACCACACTTGGTGAAATACTTCGGGAACATCTACGCTCGAACCAAGGAGAAACTCTTGTTCAAAATGGAAGATGGTTCGATCGACGTTGTTCTTTCACAGCGCGGAGTTCAACGAGGCTGTAATCTGGGAGCGTTCGGCTTCTGTGTAGGACTCCTCGATATCATGAAAGAGTTCAACAACAAGCCACCAGTGCCAGGAGTCAAACTCATCGGATACGTCGACGACCTCCAAGCACATCTTCCACCAGGTTTGGCTAGGAACATGCAGGCCATATCCACTGTAACGAATTGGATTCAGGAACGTCTCTCCCAAAAAGGCATTGAGCTCAGTCTCCCGAAATCCAAAGTGCGTTTCCCGGAGGGTCTTTGCATGTGCGCTTTGACAAACGACGAACAGCAACAGTTGACGAAAATTGGTCTGTCAGTTGCTGAAGGTGGCATGACAATGGTCGGGATCCCAGTAGGGACAGAAGAGTTCCAGAGAAATTTCATTTCCGAATTCGTCCGCGGTGACCCGGCGGAATTGATACTCCGTCAAGTAACGCTTGACGCCCCGCAAGCCAGCTATCAACTACTACGTTTATCTAGTGTGCCACGTTTGTTTTATCTGCTGAGGACGATTGCACCGTCTATCACCAACTCTGCCGCTAGAAAACATGATAACATGATGATGTGGGCAATGAGTAAGATCGTCCTTGGCAAGATGGCCGACAGCATGAGAATACCAACGGTCAAAGAGGTACGCGCAGACCCGACGAAGAGCGAGGAGGTAGATTTCTTCAAAGGGACAGCTCGGGCACAGGTGCACCTACCCATGCGTGGAGGAGGACTAGGAATCATGAGCAATGTTCTCATTCGAGAATCGACTTCTGTGGCAGGGCAAGCGCTGGTGTTTTCCAAGTCAGTGCAAGCATCGACAGGATACACAGTTGAGCAATGTCTACCCCGGCTTGCCCAGCTACCGACAGGATTGGCTCAAATTGACTCACTCAAGAAGCTAGAGGAGATGATCCCCAAAGACAAGCATGAAAAAGCTGTTGGGCAGTCATGGGCTAAACTTGCCACAAGTGATGAGTTAACCCCCGCCCTCAAAGGAGTTTACTTGTTGGAAGCAGGGAAGGCGGGAAAACCCAGTGAAGATGGAAGCCCTGACGCAGAACATTAACCACCGTCTACCTTCAACCAAAATGAACTTGGTCAACACTACCAAGTCTTTGGAGCCCAAGCTCTCCTTTTGAAACCTTTTCATGCAGCAGTGCGTCACATGGTGGAGACAGACGTGCAGAAGGTAGCAGGCGAGGAAATGTCAAAGAAGAGAGCATTGATCCGCTTGGAGGAAGCGAAAGGCAAGGGAGTTTTGTCGTGGTTGACAACGCAAGGGTTGTCAGCAGATGAAAGAATGCTGCCTGATCTATATCGAGAGTCAATCGGTCGTGTACTGGGGAGTCACGATCGAGCAGACTGCAACACAGGCAAACTTTGTGGTGCAGGTGCATTGTTACCATGCAAGGACCGCTTGAGCCGAGCCCACTCCCTCGTCTGCACCAAGACCGGCGCCTCAACCTTCCTCCATAACAGGATGGTTCGAGTAGTCCTCAAGACACTGCGTGAGTGTCATATGCCCATCGCCGTTGAGGATGATTCCCTTTTACCACAGGCACTGGTAGGGGAAAGGGGTTATACAAGATGGATTTGGTGATTCCCCCAGGATTGCACGCAGGAGAGAAGGAAGAGGAACTCTGCATCAAGTCCATTCTTATAGACGTAACAATCATCAACCCATCCGCAGGTCGAAGCATCGACAAGTCGATGCAAAAGCCAGGATCCGCCCTCGAAGATCGAGCTGCAAGTAAGGCAAATCACTATGCGGGAACTTTCAACCCGTCTAGATCTACCCTCCTTACTGCTGCTTTTTCAACGAATGGTGGTCTTGGCAAAGGCACCAATCGACTCATCGTTGCTATCGCCAACCACTTGGCGCACGAAGCTTTTTGCCGGGAAAATTTTGACGACGAGAGGGCCTTAGTTCGCCTGAAAGCTTTTCATACTAACAGGATTCGGAGACGGTTTACCTTCGAGCCAGCTCATTTTCCGTCCATGCCAACTCGCGATGTGTTCAAACGTCACGGGCTACTGATCGAACAACTTCCACCAGGGCCAATCGGTTGGGATCTCTGCGACAACAATAGTAATGAGGGTGATTTTATTGGGAGTGACGGAGACGAAGGAAAGAAAAACGGAAGAAAGGAGGACGAAGACGATGATGGAGGAGGAAAACATGGAGGAGTGGAAGAGAGCAAAGGGTTTGAGCCAGATGACCTTCCCCAAAAGAAAAAATGCAGGACTAGACTAGGGAAGAACTGCCCAGAGATTCTTGTCAAAATGAGGATCAGAATGATGGTAGCGAACACAAGGAGGATAATGGTGAAAATTACTCAAAACGAATTCGAGTACAAGGTATTAGCCTTGGAAGACACGTGCAGTTTTCTTCTGTTGCTGCTGTTTCTGTCTTTGATCCGAAGGATAGTTTAGCCCCCTCCCATGCTGCCCCCTCACGGGGTCCCAGTTCGTGGCAGATAAATGTGTTTGTGTTTTCAACCGCACTGAGACTGACGTCTTTTCATTGGTCAGCCGGTTAGCGCGTTCGATGCTAAAAATAAAAGCACGCACATCCACGGAAGTTTGAATTCAACAGCGCCACAACTAAGAGCGACTGACACGTCACATGGCTCGTTGAATCCCCTACACGGCAATTCCGCCCTTTCCAATCGCACCGAGCAGATTGAGCGGACTCGTGGTGGAGTGAAAGAGTTCGAATCCGGTTTCAGCTTCCCGCCTCCGGCCCCGGAGTCCCGCCGATCCTGCCCTCACTGTCCCATGACCTGCGTGAACGTGCAAGGCCTTGGGATCCACGTGAGAACGCAGTACAGCAGTGCAAACATGTCCAACGGCGTGCGCCTGCGGCGGATGCTACGGAAGAATCTCGAAGGGCGTGTCCTTCCGTGGGAAAGCCGGGCCTGGGCGTTGTTGGCCCTTGAAGGTCGATGATGCGACGGGGGCGGCTTCGTTTGTCCTCCAGCGGAAGCGCTTTCTCGACCTAGACTTGGAAAGCGACGGCTTCATGGACCGCGAAACCAAGGAAACTCGTGGAGCTCCCAAGCGCAGGCGATACGACTATAGGTTCAAAGCCAATGCTGTCAGCCAGCTGCGCATCCTCGAGGGCAACGCCGCTTACCTCTGGAAGAAGGAGGAGCGCACGCCTCTTCAGTACTTAGAGGATGGTCTCAAGGTTCACTACAGCAACATCGTGAAGTGGACCAAGGACGAGAAGGCCATAGTCGCGGCGGCAGCAGACGACGCGAACAAGAGCCCCCTCGCCAAGCAGCAGCCTAAGCAGTGGTTTGCTGAGGCACAAAAGAGGCTTTACAAGATGTTCGTGGAGCGGCGTAAGAGGAAGCTGAAGGTATCGACCCTGTGGCTAACGATAAACGTTCCGGAAGCTCGTGCGAGAGATGTATCCCGGGGACCAACGGGCGGCGGCGTTCAGCGCATCCTTCAGGTGGGCACGAAAATGGGCCAAGAGGCACAACCTGTCCAAAAGACGTCGGACCAACCTCAAGAATAAGACTGTTGAGGAGCGCCTACCAAAGATCCAGCGCTTCCACCGACTGTTTCGCAAGCTCCTGCAAGAGCCGGTACGGTACAGGGCGCCCGATGAGTTGGACTTATCGGCGATTACGACGTTCGCAGAGAGGGAGTCCAGAGTTCCCAAGTATGGCCAATTCCTGCTCTGGGAGCGTTGGAATGTGGATCAAGTGCCTTTGGCATTCGTAAACGGGCTGCTCGATACGTGGGAGGAGCGAGTTGCGAAGCGTGTCGCCATCTCACAGCCCTTTCCTGGCCTAGAGAAAAGGCAGTGCACCGTGTTAGTCATCTTTGGTCCGGGTGAGACGACCTTGCGAATTTCGGTGATCTTCCGAGGCATGGGGAAGCGGATCTCGCCGGTGGAGAAGGCCGCGTACCACGAGGACGTGGACGTTTTTTTCCAGGAGAATGCTTGGGCCGACCAAAAAATCTGTATGGAGTGGGCTAAGAGGTCCTACCTCGAAGGCCTGATGCGCGGGCGGGGTGAGCTTCCCAAAGCGAGGTCCATTCTTATCATGGACAACTTGCACGCTCAGACGACGGACGAGTTCAAGGAGTATCTTGTGAAGGAGTGCAACACTCTCGCCTAGAATGGCCCTTCTGAGTGCACGGACGAGGTGCAGCCGGTTGATGCAGGAGCCGGACGATTTATCAAGGTGGAAGCTGGGAGGCAGATGGACATGTGGCTCGAGCAGTCGGACAACCTCGAGAGGTGGGAAACCGCGGCGCTGACAGCTTCTGATCGGCGGGCACTGATCACTCAGTGAATTGGAGCGGCCATGGCAAGACTTAACAGCCAACAGGCGTTCCGATTCCGCCTTTTCGAAATGTGCGGGATGACCATGACTGTGGACGGCTCAGGCGATGATCGGAACGCTTTGGAGGGTTCGGACAAGCCGTACACCATCGCAAACGATGAAGACTGTAGCGAGGACGAAGAGGGTTTGGAGAACGGCAGAGATGAGCCTGAGGGGCGGGGGAAGGAGGGCGATGGACGTCAGACGGTCGTGGAGGGCGCTGATTCCAGCGATGATGAAGACGCGGCAGAAAGTTTGATTTGCACTTAATCCAATCTTTGTCATTTCCTTGTTGATGACGATGTCCATGTTGATATTTGCTTGGATTTCGCTGATGTGCTCTTTCCGCGTTCACGACTACGAGCAAATATGATGGGTTCATGTTGGGTTTCGGCCGTGACACCGTACTTCTTGTGGTGTTTCACGGTGCCCCGTTCGCAGGCACGTCTCAAACCCAGACCGATGATCTAGCTCTTCTCGACGACGACGACAGCATGGACCCACAAGACCCGGAGGACGAGACACAAGGAATGGAGATCCCGACAGGCTTTCACATTCAAGAAGTTGAACCCGTTGCTCTTGACAGATTGCTTTTGCGACGTGGAGTGTTCGTTAGGCTGGGGATTGGGTGGTTTGGGAGGTTGATCATTCAGCAATCTCAGCAGGACGCTCGCCACCTGTACGACTAATGTGTGCAGCTGGAGCTAGACCAGAGTACGCACAAGATGAAGCTGCCCATAGACAAGTACACCGGAGATTTGGATGCGGCGATAGGCTCCTGGGTTTTGCTTGAGAGCGTTAGTAGATCGGGGAGGGGACCAACGTCACCCTTGTGTACCAACATGGTTGACAGTTGCTGCTGCATGCCTTGGTGTGTTCTTGTACCAAACAACAGCATTGTTCCTCATGCTAAACACTATAATCACTCCGCCGAGTGCAGTTGACAGCCGCCAACAAAGTTCGGCGTCATACAACGTACGTCAACAGGGCCAATTGGTGTTGAAATAAGAACAAGAACATTTCGCTGAAGAAAAATGGGACGACGAAATAAGAACATGGCCATTAAGAACACATGCTCGGGTTGGGGCAGCCAATAAGAATTGAGCCACGCTCAAGACAGGAGGTTCTTCAGTGCGGGCCTCAACTGTAGCGCTTCCTACGAACCCATGCAACGGGAGCTGATGGATTGTCGTGTGACCTTAGCCGACCACAACCTAGCCAATAAGTGAAGAATCTGACGTCCAAATGGAATGAGACCACTGAAAAGCACGTTGTTCGCGATGTTTTTCGTGTGAAAGTCGCCCTTTCCTTCGATGACACTTTGGAGGGAGTGTGTGGAGTGCGATGGGTCCCGTTAAGGACAAAATGTCCACACATGATTGCACGTTGGATTCGAAACGAAAGCTGTGAAGTGTTACGAAGCAAGAAATGGGGCATTCGCCTGGTGCGTCGTCTATCGGCGACAGATCCGCCACAGAACCCATCGGATGTGCCGATTCGAGCTGGAGGGGGCAAGGGGCTGAGGGCTAGGGAAGAGGGCTAGGAAAGAGGGCTAGGGAAAAGGGCTCGGGGAAGGCGATGTCTTCATCGGCCAAGGCACGATGTCTCAAAAGACGTCGTAGAATGCTGAACGTCGCGCGCCCCCGGCGTCCCCTCCACCCAAGTCAAGCAGGCACCGTGGGAAGGAACATAAACGAGGGCTACGGGCAAAGTCAGACGAGCTGTTGTCCGACCATCACGGCCAAATATTCAACAACTGGTCAAACCAGGACAGAAATTCGCACCATCACTCGTCGGCTTTCACGTGAAGTGTATCATATGTGTATTCAACAGTGCGAGGGCCACGGGTAGAATCTGAAGCTCTCCGGCGTATCCTTGGGAGGGCCATACGGAAAATAAACATGAATACTCACAGAAACGCAAACTTCTTGAGTATTGGGCATAGATTTGCGGAGATCGTAATTGGTAGGGGATTTCTATTTGGTTTCATCGAAGATTCGACTAGTGACGTAAATTGCGTGACGGATGGATGTAGTGACGCGCCCACGCGTGGTGTTGTGCTCCGGTTTCCATTTCCCTCGTAAACAAGCCTTTCAAATCTGGGCCCTCACTGGCCATCATACACAGCTTTACCTAGCCGTTATTGCCAAAGTTGGGCTTGGTGTATTACATAGGTAGGAATCACCTGACTTTTCGTTGCTGCATCTCTGCCTTTTTGGTCTCCTAGAAGCTTGGATTTCTCAGCATTGTTTCAACATGTGCCCGATGGTATTGTTCAGAGGTTGTACACTCTTCTTTCCGTTCGTGAAATCTCCTGATTTCTAATGAGAACGACATTGTCGTTTGTAAGCCATGAAAAAGTGTCCCCAATATATACGGCCATAGAGGGTGCGAGTAATCAGCGTAACCTACCTGCAGTATCCATTCGACTGTCGCATGGGCGACTGTCTTTCGTGATGACCGTGGTCCTCCGTGGTTGGGCTCAACCGAATCACATCCTTGCGTCGAATTCTTTTGCTTTTCACAGAACATTGGGGGGTTGGAAGAACGTTCTGGCGGTTTCAATCCCCCTATCCTCGTTACGTCCCCGTCGTTCGGCGTAGAACACTGCCAGTTCGACGAAGAACTGCTTGTGGTGTTCGGAAAGGAGTGGGAAAGCCAAACACCGAAGAGGGCAGGGTCACGAAGGATGAGCAAGTCCTCCTTGGCGTAGCGGGACTGGTTTCGGTTGTCCATACCCGACAAGGATCTCCACATCTCTACCATTCGTTCGGCCAAATATTCCATATTGTGAATATTAAGTGCACAAGCCACGAAGTGTCAAACTAAGTTAGACTATCTTAGTTAGGCATCGACCCTTGTTGTTACCACGCACCGATAGCAGTGCGGTTCGACACATGTCATGTCCATCTCAAAACTAACCACAGACTATGGCCGCACGTGCTGCATACCTACAACACGGTCTGTACAATTTCCCACACTACTGGCAGTTTCACTGAGCCGCGCCAATGGGGCGCCCAAAGGCTGCCCATGAGCTGCTCATGAGTGCCCCCATGGGCACTTCAACCTAGAACGCAACGAACGGCATATCAACCTAGAACTTAGCCATCGGGACATTCACCTAGAAGTTCGTCACCCGACGCCAAGCTAGGACGTACCGTGAGGGCTCGAAGATAGATAGTTAGGGCTACCGTAAGGGTTATCATTTGCCGTTATTATGCCCATTCCAAAGCAGATAATCTATTGTCTAGGAGTACACTGGTTCCGGTTGAAGGGCACTCATTGACTGCCCATGGGCTGCCCATGGTTTACCGATGGCGAGCCCATGGGCACAACATGGTGTCCATGGGTGGTTTAGTAAAACTGTAGAAAGTGTGGGAGACCCTCTCTGCCGGGGACTTAGTGATCCGGACACAAAACACAAAAAGCGAAATGTCGTAAGCGGATGTGCTTTACGTTATTTTGATGGAGACAAAAACTCTTGGCGGCCGCGAAGACCAACCACCAGAGAAGCTGCAGGTGAGTCATCACCACCTGCAGCTGCAGCTGTAGCAGCAGCAGCCACCGCGGCACGGCGGTGAACGTTTTCTACATGTCATTGTTGTGACGCTTTAGCCGCAGCAGCAATGGCAAACGCAAGAAGGCGAAGACTATCCGCCTCCGCCACCAGCAGTCCCCACCACAGCTCGACTTGTCGAACGAAAGCGAATCGCTTTCCCACGTTGTGTGAAAAATCAGTTCGGGTGGTGGAAGCATAGCGGATGGGTGGGGGGATAGCAACATACATGTGAAACGATGTGCACGGCGGCGGTGTGCGTCAGAGCAACCAATGCTCGATGTACTCCAACATTTTCACCATGGAAACATCTCCACTTTGCACATCCTACGTGTACATGATGTAGTAGAAAGATACGTACAAAACCTAAAAAGTAATCGGTGTTACCTCGCATAGCGCGCAGAGGGAGCGGAGGACTCCGGAATATCTATCGTTGATTCCTATTGACTTGCGGACCCCTCGGGGCCATTTTATTTGAGTGTACCTTTTTTGGGTATGTTAGCCTGAGACCACGGGGATCGACCGCGTCGAGTGTTATATCAGTACGGACATACGAAGGTACTGGGTAGAGAGACATCGGAACGGTTTTTTTTCATGTGAAGACAACAACAACAATCAATGAAGTATAGTCTATAGTGTTCCAGTCTGGCACGCAGGCAGGTTCAGGTGTCGGTTTACTCATTCAAATCAATACACAACAATAGTTGCAATGACATCATGATGGCTCTTCCGTCCATGATAGTGCCTGTGAAGCTACAGTGAAACGAGGAACAGCAAAACATTGGATCATGACCAAGCCGAACCCTTCCAATTCGAACTCTGGTACAAGGTTTCAGTTTTACTGTTGTGGAAACCGTAGGTATATTTTACAAGGCACCACAGTTTAGCATTTTGGCTCACGTCGCGGATTCTTGCTGAATGGGTTCGCCGTCCATATTCCGCACCTGGTACGCCTTCCAGAGTGTCCCGTATTAGATATCGTTACACCTTCAGACTAGTCAGCGTTTAGACTAATAGTCAGTCGCTGACTAGTCTAAAGGTGTAACTTTGTCTAATAAAGATATGCTCAGAGCTCATTTGCACCCGCTGACTAGTCTAAAGGTGTAACGTAATACAATAAAAGATATATGCTCAGAGCTCGTTTGCACCCGGCAGGATCACTTGGGTTATTATGGCTTAATCACTGGGATTGAGAGTTAGGATTCTCTGGGGACGGACCCTTCGCCACGTGCTTATATTTCTAAGTGCACTTTGTGCAAAGAAAGTGATCCTGCCGGGTGCAAATGAGCTCTGAGAAAATCTTTTATTAGATAAGGTTGCACCTTTAGACTAGTCAGCCGTACGTACCCGTACGAGTTCAAATACCGGCAGGATCACTTTTGTTTGCACAAAGTACGCCTAGAACTATCAGCGCCTGGCGAGGGGTCCGTCCCCGGAGATCCCTGCTCTCAATCCCAGTGAATATGCCATACAGTATCCCGCTCGGGCTGATTGTCGGTCGAACCGACTTTTGCTCGAGGCGAGCCACAGCTGTGTTGGTCCAACTTCGCCCAAGCCGCAGGAAAACCGAAAACAGTCGAATCGCGCAAGAACAGCAGCAGCGACAAGCAATACAACAATGGAGGTCAGCAAGCAGTTCGAAAAAATAGAAGCTTGCTGAGTGGGCACCCACCCGACCATTTCAAGGTGCGTTGTAATTGAGAATCCTGTTGAGTACTGTACAAATAAACTCTGTTGACCGTGGTCGAGCTAGCCCCCCTAAACTGAAGTGGAACCTCAAGGCCATCGCAGAAGAAGAGGGGTATTTCTCGGCTAGCAGTTGCCGTGATGGGTGGAATAGGGAAACAATGGGTATCATGGGATTGTCATCGGTGCGGGTGGCTAAAAGTAACGGGTGAGTCGGTGCTTCGGTGTTCATTCGCCTATGATTCCCTTGGGTTGGGAATGTCATACTCATCCGAAGATTGAGTATTCGTTCGCAGGTTTGATGCAGTCTCACCGCAGGAAGAATCGGTCCTTCGAACCGCCACGATTAACTCGCTATTGTCCGTCACCCAACTACAGTCGCATCATAATGATCCTTCTCGGATTGCATTTCATCACATTGTTGAACGAATGTTGGCTTGGCAAAAGACGGACATTTGATGCAAGCAA